TTAACCTGATGTTGGCTACTGGTTTGCTGTATATTGCCTTTATTATGTTTCAGTATGTCCCTTATATTCCTGATTTCTCCAAGACTTTTATCATGAAGGGGTGTTGGATTTTGTCAAGGATCTTTTCAGCATCTAAATAGATGATCATGTGGCTTTTTTCTTTCAGTTTATATGGTAGATTACATTGACTGATTTTCATTTGTTGAACCATCCCTGCATCTCTGGGATGAAGCCTACTTGATCATGGTGGAAAATCTTTTTGATGTGTTCTTGGATTTAGTTTGCAAGCATTCTATTGAGTATTTCTGCACCAATGTTATTGAGGGAAATTGCTCTGTAATTCTCTTTTTTGAGTGTTTGCTTAGTTTGGGTGTCAGGGTAACTGTGACCTCATAAAATGAATTTGGGAATGTTCTGTTTTTATTTTGTGGAATAATTTGAGTAGTATTGATATTAGCACTTCATTGAAAGCCTTGTAGAATTCTGTGCTAAAAATGTCTACCCCTGGGCCTTTTTCGGTTGGGAGACTTTTAATGATTGCTTCTATTTCCTTAGGGTTTATAGGTCTATTTAAGTTGTTTATCTAATCTTGACTTAACTTTGGTAAGTAGCATCTATCAAGAAATTTGTCCATTTCTTTTAGATTTCCAATTTTGTGGAGTATGACCTAATGATTCTTTGGATTTCCTCAGTGTCTGTTATGTCTCCCTTTTTGTTTCTGATTTTGTTAATTTGGATATTCTCTATGGTTTTTAGTTAGTTTAGATAAGGGTTTGTCTATCTTGCTTATTTTCTTGAAGAACCAACTCTTTGTTTCATTGGTTCCTGGTACTGTTGTCTTTGTTTCTATGTTATTGATTTAGGCCCTCAGTTTGATTATTTTCTACCATCTACCCCTCTTGGGTATGTTTGCTTCTTCTTGTTATAGAGTTTGTAGGTGTGCTATTAAGTTGCTAGTATGAGATCTCTCTAATTTCTTTATGAAGGCACTTCATAAAGTGCTATGAACTTCCTCTTAGCACTGCTTTCATTGTGTCCCATAAGTCTGGGTATGTTGTGAATTCATTTTCATTTAATTCTAGGAAATCTTTCTTATTTCTGCCTTAATCCAGTAGTTGTTCAGTAAGGAGTTGTTCAGATTTCATGAGCTTGTAGGTTTTCTGTTGTTGATATCCAGCCTTAACCTATGGTGATCTGATAGGACACAGGGAGTTATTTCAATTTTCTTGTATCTGTTGAGACTTGCTTTGTGACTGAGTATGTGGTCGGTCTTGGAGAATGTTCCATGAGGTGCTGAGAAGGCATATTGTTTTGTGGTTAGGTGAAATGTTCTGCAGATGTCTGTTAGGTCCATTTGAATCATAATGGCTATTTCCATCATTTCTCTGTTTAAGTTCTGTCTGGATGACCTGTCCATTGATGAGAGTGGGGTGTTGAATTCTCCCACTATAAGTGTATGAGGGTCAATGTATGATTTAAGCTTTTATAATGTTTCTTTTGCAAAAGTAGGTGGTCTTGCATTTGGGGTATAGATGTTGAGAATTGACATGTTATCTTGGTGGATTTTTCCTTTGATGAGTATGAAATGTCCTTCTCCATCTCTTTTGATTAATTTTGGTTTGGAGTTTATTTTGTTAGGTATTAGAATAACTACACCAGCTTGCTTCTTAGGTTCCATTTGCTTGGAAAATCCCTTTCTAACCCTTTGCTCGGAGGTAGTCTATCTTTGATATTGAGGTGTGTTTCTTGTATGCAGCAGAAGAATGGATGCACTTTTGTATCCATTCTGTTAGCATGTGTCTTTTTATTTGGGAATTTAATCCATTAATATTGAGAGATATTAGACCAATGATTGTTAATTCCTATTGTGTTGTTGTTGTTGTTGAGTATGTGTGTTTCCCTTTGGGTTTTGCTGATGTGAGATTATTATTGCCTATGTTTTTGTGGGTGTAGTTAACTTCCTTGGGTTTGAGTTTTTCTTCTAGAACCTTCTATAGGGATAGATTTGTGGACAGTTTAAATGTGACTTTGTCATGAAATATCTTGTTTACTCCCATCTATGGCAATTGAAAGTTTTGCTGCGTATCATAGTCTAGGCTTGCATCTGTGGTCTCTTAGAGTCTGCAAGACATCTGTCCATGCCCTTGTGACTGTTAGAGCTTCCATTGAGTAGTTGAGTGTAATTCTAGTAAGTCTGCCTTTATATGTTACTTGACCTTTTCACCTTGCAGCTTTTAATATTTTTTCTTTGTTCTGTATGTTTAGTGTTGATTATTATGGGACATGAGGACCTTCTTCTCTGATACAATCTATTCGATATTCTGTAAGCTTCTTGTACCTTTATAGGCATGTCCTTGTTTGGGTTAGAAAATTTTTCTTGTATGATTTTTGTCAAATACATTTTCTGGGTTTTTGAGCTGGGATTCCTCTCCTATTTCTATTATTTCTAGGTTTGGCCTTTGTACAGCATTCCAGGTTTCTTGGATGATTTGTGTTAGGAATTTTTCAGATTTAACATTTTCTTTGACCAATCAATCTATTTCTTCTATTAAATCTTCAACACCTGAGATTCTCTCTTCTATCTCTTGTATTCTGTTGGTGATGCTTGTGTCTGTAGCTCCCATTTGCTTACTCAGATTTTCCATTTCCAGAACTCCCTCAGTTTATATTTTCTTTATTGCTTCTATTTCAACTTTTAGGTCTTGAACAGTTTTCTTCACCTGTTTGTTTTTTCTTGGCATTCTTTAATGGATTTATTGATTTCCTCCTATTTTTTGTCCTTTCCTTGATTTCTTTAAGGAATTGTTTCCCATTTTCTCTTTAAGGACTTCTATCATCTTAATGAAGTTATTTTTAGTATTATTTTGTTGTGCTACAGGTGTCTTAGAATATTCAGGTCTTGCCATCATAGGATGGGTGGGCTCCAGTGGTGCTATATTGCCTGTTGTTGATTGTATTCTTACATTGACATTTAGGTGTCTGGGTTTGGGAAGATTATAGGTCTAAGTGCTGATTTCTGAGTTTGTCTTTGTTGGATGGGTTTTTTGTTCCTTGGTTTCTGTTTCTTCTTTGGTCTTCTGGTCTTTGTGACCTGGATTTCTGGTGACCTGCATGGCCTCTGATCCAGTAGGGAATCTCTAAGTTAGGGACTGACCTTCCAGTAGCTAGCTTTGGTGCAGCAGGGGAGGGTGTAAACAGAATTTTCTCCAGTCCTGCCTGGCCCCAAGGTCTGAACAAATCTCTCCCACCCATGGTCCCACAGCTGCTTATAAAATAATCACTCAGAGACTTATATTAATTACAAACTGTATGGCCTATGGCTTCAGCTTCTTGTTAGCTAGCTCTCTCATTTTAAATTAGCTGATTTCTGTAAATCTATATGTTGCCACATGGCTGTGGCATTGGTCTGCTGACATCCTGTTGCTCCTTTGGCTCGTGTCTCTCCCAACTCTGCCCTTCTTCTCTCTGTATCTCTGCTTGCATTTCTTACCTAGCTGTAAGCTTCAAAAACAGCTTTATTTATTATCCAATGGGAGCCACACATATTCACAGCATACAGAAAGACATCCCACAGCAAGGGGCGGGGGTGTCTCTGTTCTTCTGACTGGTGTGGCCTGAACCTGTTCTTTTGACTTGTATGGCCTGCATCTGAGCAGGGGAAGTCAGATGGAGTTGGGGGCAGGGCACAGTTGTAGGACAGGTCATGAGGTGGGAGGATGTGAACCATGCAATGGGTCGAGTGGGGCAGTTCAGCTGGCAGACGGGTCACTCACTTGTTTTTCTGACTCAAGTTTTTTTTTTTTTAAATGATTAGATGATTGAAAACCATTCTGTAAGAAGACAGTACAGGGTTGGAGAGACAGCTCAGAGGTTAAAAGCACATACTGCTTTTGTAGAGGACCCAAGTTCAGTTCTCAGCACTCTCATCAGTCAGCTCATATCCACTTACAACTCCAGTGCCAGAGAACCCAACACACCCTCTTTTGGCCATAGGAAGCATTTACACACCACACCTCACACATGCAGACACACACACACACACACACACACACACACACACACACACACACACACACACGCACACACGCATTTAATAATAATCTTTAAAACAAAAAGACAGTATAAAGCAATTTATTCCTCTCTGAACATGCTAGGTTGCTTTCAGGTTTGTTTTGCTTTTGCTTTTTTGTTATTTTAAGGAGTTGAGAATCTCCTCAGGGCACAGTAAACATATTAGAAGGTAAGGCTGACTGGTTAGCTTGTTCTAGTTGAGTTCAGCCAGAGCTTCTGCCTAGTTTCCTGTGATAGAAGCACAGGAGAGCACTGCTAAGTCACATTTGCTAATATGGACTGGCAGAAGCCAAAGGCAACTCCATCCATGTGACTGCTCAGAGGAAAGGTGGAAGGAATTGGGGACCCAAATCTAAACTGTCAAACCTTCCTAAGAATCAGGGAGAATTGCAGAACTCTCCAGAACTTTGAACATCAGATTAACATGTGTCTACTCATATTGGTACTGCAATAACTTATTACCATTTAATGGTAGAAAACAAAATTTAATCCATTAGAACTAAAAACAATGAAAATTTGCACATATATTATGCTGCCTTATTAAATTTGCTGATTTATTAGAATAACTACTGACTCTTAACTAAAATAATTTTGACTTATAAAAGAAAGATAACTTCATACTCAACCATCATATCAAATTTAAGGCTAGGCAGGCAATAAAATCTGTGAAGACTTTGTCATGGGGAATTGCAAATACAGAGGAGCTGTGTTCACATTGACTGTACATGTCCATTCAGATGCTGTGTTTATATTAAGCACTATCTGGACTGGATTGTAGCACTAGTTTATGATACTTGATTACATAGATAAATCTGTTACCCTAAACTAAGAAAAATATGACTAATCAAGTGTTTCATTGTCATCCAAAGTACAAAACAGCATTTGTCTCCTGTGTATGATTTGGTCATAAAGTTCTTCAAACATTTCAGATTGAAGAAGTTCCTGGAGAGTTCACCCAGGATGACTTAGCAGAAGATGATGTCATGCTACTCGATGCATGGGAACAGGTAAGGTTATAGTTTGCTCACAACAAGAGGCTGTATTTATGGTTGGCAACTGATAGAACTTGCTTTGAGAAATGGCAATTCAAATAATAAATGGGGGGAGGGTGGAGAGATGGCTCAGTGGTTAAGAGCACTGGCTGCTCTTCCAGAGTACCCGGGTTCAATTCCCAGCACCCACCTGGCAGCTCACAGCTGTCTGTTATTTCAGTTCGTGGAACCCTATGCCCTCACATAGACATACATGTAAGCAAAACACCAGTGCACATAAAATAAAAATAAACAAATAATAAATAGGTCTGGGGACCTAGGCTGTACTCAATAGAAATGTCACAGAGTTTATTGATTTCTTACTCTGAAAAGAATTCTACAGCTTTCACTTTTTACAGCTTTAGGAAAAAACCAAAACCAAAACAAACAAACAAAAAACCAAAACAACAAAAAAAAAATTCAACTTTTCATTTATTGGTAAACTATACTCACTGTTATTTGTGTAGTCATTATATTATTAACTACATAAATATGTACAATGCTGTGGGAGAAACCAAAATACTGAGAATTTCTCCTGAATTTTGACAAGATTTCCTAAGGAACCCATCCCTTAGGGGGAAAAATCAGGCACAGAATAGGCTTGAATTGAAGCAGCAAAATATGTTACTATCTCAAAGATCTTACTTTAGGAGAAAATTAGTGGCGACTGGACAGCTATATACATCTGGTGGTCTTCCAAAATCTCTATGTAAATTAACAACTGTAAAAAGGACAAACATATATGCTAAAAATCAAATTATAGCAAGGTGGTGGTGGCACACACCATTAATCCCAGCACTTGGGAGACAGAGGCAGGTGGATTTCAGTGAGTTTGAGGCCAGCCTGATCTACAAAGTGAGTTCCAGGACAGCTAGGACTGTTACATTGAGAAACCCTGTTTTGAAAAACAAACAAACAAACAAACAAACAAACAAAATGAATCAAATTATATAGAACAAAATGTCAAACACTGAATCAGGAGTTTTAGAGTAAGGTACCTACTTGTTTTCAGATATTTTTCTTTTCTTCTTTTTCTTTCTTTTCTTTTCCAGAATTATTTATTTTGGGCTGGAGCGTTGGCTCAGTGGTTAAGGGCACTTGTTGTGAAAGACAGATTTGATTCCCAGCACCCACATGAAAGCTCACCACCTTCTTGGGCACCAAGCACACATGTAGTACAAACACACATGTAGACAAAACACTCATACACACACACACACACACACACACACACACACACACACACACAAATCTAAAAACAAAAAATATTAAAAAAGAATTCATGTGTATGAGTGTTTTGCCTGCAGAGGTCATAAGAGGACATCAGATCCCCAGGAACTTAAGTAATGGATGGTTGTGAGCCACCAGGTGGGTGCTGGGAATCAAATTCAGATCCTTTGCAAGAACAAGTGCTCTTAACCACTGAGCCTTCAGATTGGTTTCTAGCAGCTAAGCTACTCAGTAAATCACACGTCAACCTTGGATCTTCAAGGACCATATCTGAATTGGGGATTTGCAGCAGGCTTTTTCTTTTAGGCCACCAACCAGCTCCCAAATCATGACATGAAGACTTCTTACTAGTTATGAATGCTTGGCCTCGCTTAGGCTTGTTTCTGGCTAGCTCTATTTAACTTAACCTGTTTCTCTTTATCTTCCTTTTACCTTGGGGCTTTTTACCTTTCTTCCCTTCTGTATGTCTGACTTTCCTGCTTCCTTCAGTGTCTGGCTGGCTGGCGGCTGCCTGGCTTCTGGCCCCAGGCATGTCCCTACCTTTCTCCCTCATTCTCTTCTCCTTCTCTCTCAGGCCTAGATTTCTTCTCCTACTTATTCTCTCTGCCCACCAGCCTTGCCTATCCCTCTCTTACCTAGTTATCGGCCATTCAGCTTTTTATTAGACCAATCAGATTCCTTACGCAGGCAAGGTCAAACAGCAACACATCTTTACATAATTAAACAAATGCAGCACATTTTACCTAATTAAAATAATATTCCACAACAGGGATTCAACCCTATATCCTCAAAGTACTACATTTCATTTCTTTATAAATTATCCCTTTTATCCAAGATACTGTACTGTCACAGTGTCTTGTGTGCTTGGACACACTGTGTGTGAATTAGAACACAACAGAACCTTAATTTGACCAAAGTTGCTCTACCAAGTGACTGTAAGGTGACTTAAATGTAAAGTAATTTAGGAGACTGCTTCAGAATTAAAATAACTTGACAAAGGAATGGATATATACAGATTACATGTTCACATATTTATTGTACACAATTATATGTGTAATACTTTAAATAAAAATTTAAACTCTTGATATTTAACTACTGAACATTGTAACACTTTATTGAAGTTCTATATTGCACTATACTATAAGAAAGCAATAGATGGAAGCCAGAGATTCCTGAGGACATTCAGAAACAAGCCCCGCCCTTACACCCAATCCTTTGCTGCTTAGACCTAGAGCTTGGGATGGAGATGACTGCCATGCATGCCCAGCAGATGGATGCAAAACCAGGCAAGAAGCTGTCAGTCTTGTAAAAGAAAGCAAGCCCACTTTATAACTAAAAGAGCTCATGCAAACACATTCAAATGTGAACTGTAGTCAGAGACGATGGATGTAAATGCAAGGGTCTCCTGGGGATAGGAAGCCTTGAGAAAGCATAGGGCTTCCAGGCCCCACCTTCACCTCCCTCCTGTGTGGGGTTCTAAAGGTGAAGGGGGGGTGTGGGCAAAGCACCAGGTCAGCACCCCTATCAGCACATGCTTTTATTCTGTTTTTCAGATCTTTATTTGGATTGGCAAAGATGCCAATGAAGTAGAGAAGAAGGAATCAGTGAAGTCTGGTAAGCTCTCCTGGGACAACTGTGGCAGTAACCCAGCATGGTTATCACAGCTGGCCTGCCCACCCTCCTATCTTGTCTTCCAAAATTACATACCAAATCTGAGAATTCCAGCTGTCCATCAGAACTTGAGTAACAGTATCTTTTAAAATGAAAAAATTTCATGATACAAGAAAAGATTTTGTTGCCTAATTCAGAATATAATTCTTTTTGAAATTTAGAATGATTATTTCTGAAAATTTTTTGCATCCTTCTTTAACACAGTTTTTTATCTGCTGAAGGATAAGGATAATCTCATAAATCTCAGAAGTTTTTCAGGCAACAATGAGACTTTATAATGGTACTTTCCATGGCAGATGAGAGAAATGACTGGAGACTGTTCATATTAGGCTACTTGGGGGCAAGAAGAATTTCTTTACTTGTATGAAAGAATTTTCATTGTATGTTTGTTTCAGTTTAACTGAAACTAACTGAACTTTTGTCTTTCCAATTCTTTTTAGCCAAAACGTATCTTGAGACAGATCCTTCTGGAAGAGATAAGAGGACACCGATTGTCATCATAAAACAAGGCCATGAGCCACCCACATTCACGGGCTGGTTCTTGGGCTGGGACTCCAGCAGGTGGTAAACTGAGCTCCAGAAAACCAGCTAACACTCTAGTTGCATTGCGGCAGCTGCCCCACTTTGTTCCTGGGGATTCATTTACTTTTCCTCGTCTGGCTTCAGAATATAAACCTCTGCCAAACGGCTACTTTTTAAATGACTAGTATGGGCTCCTCCTCTGCCACCGCCTCCTCCTCCACCTCCTCCTCCTCCTTCTCCTTGTTCTTCTTCCTTCTTCTTTTTCCTCCTCTTCCTTTTCCTCTTTTCTTTCATTTTTTTTTTAAAGGAATTGTTGTATGTTACTATATTGAAATAGCTTAAAGTAAACATTTGTTTTGGATCAACTTTGCTTTTTATACGACATGAAAGTAAAAGACTATAAAATCTAGGGGAATTTCTGAGGAAGGAATTTTATAATTCAATGACCACTATTCCAACTTGTCTTAATACACCGAGAGGAACGTCACAGTGCTCCTGAGTGTTCACCCTCCTGGGTATTCTGTTTGCAGTAGGTTTAGTCACTAGTTGGATGCCATTCACTTCCAAGTGTCCTTTTCCAAGACAAACTTCTTCAGCCTTTTTAGGAAACTGAAATCATAAGCCCTTCATGATAAAGCCAATGATATTCCTATCAGTTTAACTTTATATATTTGATAGGATGTGCTTAATGTCATAAAAATATGTACTGAATGCTGTTTTTCATCATTAAAATACATCTTTTTGGAAAATGTTTCATGTTGTGACATTTTAGTCAAATTTGATGAGTTAATGATTATTAATTTTATAGCTTAATATACTTTTATGTATAAGTAGTTATGAATTTAATATTCCTTAAATTTTTATTTAGTAGTCAAATTACTTTTCTATGGTTAGATTATTATAACACATTTTACATATCACAGACTATATAAAAATCACAGGCTCCAGAGGTTAGGAGTTGGGGAAAAATCTAGAATTCCAATAACAGACAGCAGACAGTCCTTGGCAGAGAAGTGCTGGGTGTAGCCCTATAGTTTAAGAAGGCCCGGCTGGGCAGATGATATTTTATCCGTAGAGGCTAGAGGGACAATCAAAACCAAGTGGTTAGGCCTAGGCTGAATGCCAGTACAAGGCTCTTGAAGAGGAAGCATACTGACCGAGAAACCTTCTCAAACAACAACAAACCATGGGTGGCTTGGGGATGAAAATAGTCAGAGATGGCAAATCAAGGCTGAGTCCAGAATGTTCCATCAACTAGAGGAGATCTCAGTGAGGCAGCAGGAAGAACAAGGGTGCCCTAGAGAATGCATTCTGGAGACTATTGACCTTCTTTACTCATAAATGTGGATTTTATAGAAAAACCCGTATTTTGGGTGTTTTGATAATTTGCCCAGCAAAACAGCTAAATATCCCTGTGGATGCTAAAGGGGTTACCACCAAATTGTGGGCAACAGAGCAGTAGCTTTCACACAGAGCCAAGTTTGTTTCCCAGGGCACAACTGTGAGGACCTAGTGCCATTTTGTTTTTCACAACTTTGAACATCTAATGCTGCTGGCATATAACAAGTAGAACCTGAGGATGCTCTAAACACCCATTGATGTGCAGGATCACTGTCACCCACCCACAACAAAGAATTATCTGGCCCCAAATGTCAACAGTGCCAAAGCTGGGAATCTGTAAATGAGACCATGGTTCTCAGTGTGTGGGTCATGACCCCCTTAGGGGTTGCATATCAGATATTACATTATGATTCATAACAGTAGCAAAATTACAGTTATAAAGTAGCAACAAAAGTAACTCTATGATTGGGGGTCACCACAACATGAGGAACTGTATTAAAAGGTTACAGCATTAGGAAGATTGAGAACCACTGCTGTAGACTTTAAAAGAGAAACACAGCATTCTGTTACTATAGTAGACTTTTAAAGAAAACAAGCTAAAATAAAGTGCTAGCAGTCTTCATGCATAAAAATATAGTGTTTCACAAAAAGAACCAAATAGAAACAGAGTTGGCTACATCTATCATATTCCATCCTCATGAAAGACATTCTACCCAAGACCCAATATGTTTAACAGATGCAATACATGTGGATTGAGGTATATACATTAGGTTACCTTTTAAATACTTTCAAACACTATAAATTGGATGTTTCTACATGTGAGATATTATTTATTAAATATTTATTTAAATTTCTAATTGGATCTCTTAATTTTTTCATTAAAATGTTTATTCTTTGAACATTTCATAGATTTAAGCAATGCGTATTGATCATATCCATCTACTACCTCCTTCCAATTTCCCCCAACTTCATCTTTGTTATTAATAGCTCATTTTTGTTATTATTAAAAACTCCATAAGCCCAATTATTGCTGCTCATATTAAATCTCTTTTCTAATGCTACTATAAAAACTACCATAATCTCAGTGACCTAAAACAATACACATAGATTGTCATATAGTTCTAAAATAGGTGGATAGAGATGCATTCTGGAGTTCTAGGGAAGAATCAATCCATTTCCTTTGTTTTCCTGATTCTAGTGGCTATCTACATTCATTGGTTTGTGGATACTTTCTCTACCTTAGCAACTACTAAAATTATATTTTCAAAAATCTGTGCCCTCATCTAGCCTCTGTCTCTGTTGGTTATATCTTTATTACTGTTATTAAAATATAATTACATAATTTCCATAAATTGTTTTCTTTATCCAGCTCGTCCGGTGCCCTCTCTCATTTCCAGTCTCCTTTTATTTATTATTGGTTATATCTTTTAAAAATTTGATTCTCCTGTTTTCCTCCTTCACTGATAGGGACCCTCTTATTTATATTAGGTCCACTGGATTTATTGGGTCCTGGAGTGATCCAAGATAGTATTCTTATTTCAGTGTTATTAATTACACTGCAAAGTCCTTCTTGTTGTATGATGTAACATACAGAATCCGCATGTCTATCTTGGTTATGACATGTGGATAGCTTTAGGACTCAAGGCTATTTATTAGTCAGCCTTGATAGAAAGGTCTGTGATACAGCTAGTATTCTAAGTTGTTGGTAGATTGGGTAAAAGCTGATACAGTGAAAAGTTGGTAGATTTGCCTATATTCTGTTAACTGCACCTTCTGCTTAAAGCTTTATTTCTAAAATAGAAAACATGCTGAGATAATGTTTCTTCTCTGTCCCAATCCTTGGAAAATGCTGTTCTTGTTCCAAAGTGGAAATTCACAAACTCTGGTTTAAAAAAAATGTCTCATGCTGGGTTCACAGACAACAGCTACTGTTGTCTGGACAATTATGAGGACACTACTGGAAAATCTGGAGCATAGGGAAGCATCTGTGGACACCAGAGAACTGGTAGGGCATTTCAGCTGTGTTTAACCGAACCACAGATATTTTAAACTAATTATCTGATTTAATAAGGAAACAGTGACCCCCCTTGCCCCCATTTCCTCTTTGCTTTGGAGTAGCATTCTTCTGTTCTTGATCACAAGCTATCCGTGGATTTCTGTATTTGGACATCCAGTAAGGACATTACCGGAATGATGCTATCAGCAGGTCCTCCCATATACAATGTCCTCTAATTGTATGTATAGGTTCAGTGTTCTGTTGCTGTAAAGAGACATTGTTACCATGGCAATTCATATAAAAGAAAGCATTTAGTTGGAGTTTGCTTACAGTTTCAGAGGTTTAGTCCATTATCTTCATGGCGAGGAGCAGGGCAGGGTGCAGGCAGACTTGAGTTCCATATCTAGATCAGAAGGCCTTGGGATGAGAGAGCTACTAGGCCTGGCTTGGGCTTCTGAACCCTCAAAGTCTACCCACAGTGACACATTTCCTACAAGACCACACCCACTCCAACAAGGCCACACCTCTTAATCTAAAGTAATGTCACTCCCTGATGACTAAGCATTCAACTATATAAGCCTATAGGGGCCATTCCTATTCAAAATTCCCCAGAGTCAATCACAGTCTCAACACCACTTCAAAGTCTTAACTGTAACTCCCTGTAAAATCAAAAGCAAAAAGCAGATCACAACATGCAATGGCACAGGATATACATTACCATTCCAAAAGGGAGGAAAGGGAGCACAGTGAGGAAACACTGGACCAAAGCAAGACTACAAGCTAACTGGGCAAACTCCACTCTGCATCTCCATGTCTGATGTCAAAGCGCTCTTCAGATCTCCAAGTTCTTTCAGCTTTGTTGACTGTTAACACACTTCTTTCTCTCGGGTTGGTTCCACACCAGGGCTGCAGCTTTCCTTGGCAGGTATCCCACAACTCTGGCATCTCCAACGTTTTGGGGTCTCCAAGGCAATCCAGGCTTCACCTTCACACCTTTACTCGATAAACTCTCCTGAATACAAGTCAAGGGCTCTATGACCTTAGCCACACCTTCAGCCCCCATTCCCACGTTTTATACTTACCACAAATAACTCCTACTACCAGACACATTAGTAAGGAATTCAGATTTTATGGAACACTTCAGGAAGTATAAGGTAGAAATTTAGGGTATTCTCTGCAGAACTGAAAATACACCCACAAGAAATTTCAGTGATAAGGACAGTGGAGGAACAGAATGTACTGTAAAATTCCTACTGACTGCTAAATTAGTGCTGATAAGCAGTCTGATTTTTTTTTAAATGTATCTCCACTGAAAATATAACTTTGTGAGTTACTTGGGAGCTAAAAACATTGTTTCTAAATGTGCTGGTTACTTTTGTCAACTTAACACAGCTAGGTTCATCTGAGAAGAGGAAATCTCAGCTGAGAAAATGCCTCCACCAGATTGGCCCACAGGCAACTCTATGGGGCATTTTTTGATTATTAATTGATGTAGGAGGGCCTAGCCCATTGTGGGTGGTGTCTTCCCTGGGTAGGAAGTCCAGGTGGTCTAAGAAAACAGGCTGATTAACCCATCAGAAGAATGCCATTACTCCTTCAAGGTCTCTGCTTCAGTTTCTGCCTCCAGGTTCCTTCCTTGCTCCCCTCAGTGGACCTTGACTCAGGGCATTTAAACCAATAAACCCTTTCTTCCTCAAACTGCTTTGGTCGTGGTCTTTACTGCAACAATAGAAGGCAAACTAAGACACTAAATATGCATGTTGTTTCCCCCAAAGTGATATGAAATCAAGAGAAGAAAGCATATTGGGATGAGTTTGATATCTTCATCTTATATTCTGTCTTGCCATTTAATATCAGAAACCCCACTGGCACATATTTATAGATCCCATCCTCTGAGTATCAGTCAAAAGTATGGTCACTTGACAGTTTTGGAAAATGTCATACAAGCAGTTTTTGTTTCTGTTTTGAGCTAAGAGGGCATGTTTCTTGACACTCTCTTCAAAAGGAAGCTTCTAGCGATCCACTCTTCTATTTCCTTCTTCAACAGCTGGGAAATGATGAGTACTTGGATACCCTTGTTGAGCCCAGGGACAGAAGCCAGTAGCAAATGGCAGAGTTTGTTCCCTGTGCAACAGGATCTGCCCATTTTAAGACAGGCAAACAGAAAGAAGAATCCCCTCTCTAAAGCAGATCTCCTTACACTGTAATAGGAAAACTGGTGCCCAAAGAGGGGTTTGCTATAATGGTGTTTGGCCCTGTTTTAATGGTAGACATGCTGAGAAGTTTTAAACAAGTATCATAAGCTGGGAGTAAAGCGATCCCTTTTTAGCTTAAAAACATCAAGAAAAACTTCTACCAGCAGTAACTAAGAAGGCAGGTTATGTTCCTCCCGGGAAAAGATGAGAAAAATTCAAGATACTAATCAGAATGGACTGCTCTTTTCAGCTTTCAGTGGCATTCTCCAAACCAGGAACCAGGTAGGGGGGTGGGGGTGGGGTAGGATTAAGAAGTTAAACAGAAATGAAAAGAGCTCTATATTCTCAACGTGGGGAATGCAATCTGAATTGACTGAGGATTAGTAACTTGGAAAAGCCAGCGGTATCGTAAACAAAATAACAGTAGATAAAGATGTCACTCAGACCTGGCTCAAGGGCTTTCCAGAAAAGTGAGCCAAACCAGATATAGAATCAGATGAGTGTGTTTTCATACTGAATGTAGCTGCTATTAGAGCAACAGAGAAAGAGCTATTAACCCTGTCAGGGCACTATCCAGACAAAGCCTGTAGCTTCTGCCACATGCAACTCTCTGGAACCACACAGACCAGAAGTCTTCTGGTTTTGAACAAATTTATTTTGCTAAAAATTTGAATGCTTGGTCTACAAATGCCTATGATTATTTGACCACTAAACTCTTTTTGAGACCCCAGTTCTCTATCAACTGAGAATGTCATGCTGAAACATGAAAACACAGGATTCCTTGGCCACCCCTGACGTCTACGGCAGAAGAGACGTATGCCTTCCAACACATGCTGGAGATGTGATCCAGGGCATTATAGGAAGGAAGAACTTCCCAAAGGGCAAAGTCAGGGGAGAGAAAGACAATGGGCAGGGGATTTTCATGTGGAACAGAGTCAAATTCATCAATGAACTCAAAAATTATCAGAGAAGGAACTGACATTTTTGCCCCGAAAGTTTTCAGCAGTTTGATAGACAAATGAGTATTTCTCATTGTTCTTTTCTGACTAGCAATTTGCACATAGTTCACAGAAAAGAATAAAGGGACCAAACAATAAAAATTTTGTTTTCTAAGGTATTCATAATTAAATTTATAACATAACAGAAGAATCTTTTTGTTTGTGAAATAGGCAAACACTAAAATGTGAAAACATTAGAAGTCATTAAAGGGTGGATTCAGGTTTATCAGCACACTATTAAGGGGTGCACAGAATAGTCAGGTTGCTTTGATCCATACACAGTGGTGTCTCTATTTAAAACACACACATAAAGCATCAAATTGTCAAATATAACTTAAGTAGTAATCTAAAACCAAAGGTATTAGAGTGACAAGCTGGCACACTGGTGTTCTTTCCAAGTGATAAATATATCATATTTGTGCAATATTTGTACAATATTTGTGGAATATTTAATATTTAGGAAGGGCAGAAAGACCCAGAAGTTCACTGTCAATAGGAGTCAGCCTCATCTTAGGACAATGCTTCGCTCAGTCGGATGGAAATCCTGCAGTTAACTGTGTCTTGAAGAGCCATTTAGAGACTCACTGCATTGAATCAACCACAAGCCTTAGTGATCCCATTTCCTGGCTCAACTACTTGATCAAATAATTTCCCCATTTATAATTTCCCCATTTTTGCCATCATACTTCTATACGTTGAGTGTTAGTCTCCACTAATGGCTAGAGACTCTAAGTTAAAATATCAAGGATCTGCATGTATATATTTTATACTTAGTGAACGTGACACCTGTGAATGCCAGGACCCTGGAACCTGGTCCACCTGCGACAGCCCTACTTTCCCACCTAACGGATTGCTGGGACTCTTCATCCAACACTGGCATAATTGGTAAGCCCCCTTCACCCACTTCTCCACCTCTTGTCATTTCCCACAAGTGAGGCTTCGTTTCTTGAGCAGAGTCCTTGCCTTTTGGCTTTTCTTGAAGTTCTGGTACCATGCAACTGTGTCTCACCTATTGGGCCCTGCTTTTTTGGATGATGATGCACTGAGCAGCCTGTACCTCCTCGTCGGTCCTTGCTGAATTTCTGGGATACTAGAGATTCCAGCCCTTGGATCTTCTCTACCTCACTCATGGAAAATGCACCTACCACTCAACTTAAGGGCTAAACTTCCCCAATACCCCTTAGATATCAATTCAAATGGCCACTTACCAGTTCC